ATCCCCCCTATCACCAACATCCCCCCATCTCCTTCCTCATTAGAAGACTTACTTCAAGCGCCGCTGCGACCAGGCGTAGTCGGGCTGGGCCAGGGTACGGTCGAGGAAACGGATGATCGCGGTCTCGCCGTCGCGGCCCGCTTGCTTGAGCCACGCCGAGCCTTGCAAGCGTGACGGGCCCGGGGCGTCGATGACGCTCGGTGGTGTGGGGTCATCACCTTCGTTTAGCTTGGTCGGCTCAGGGCGCCCTTTTTCGAGCTGCTTGACGATGCGGTTCACGTCGCTGGCGACGCCCTTGTCGTCGCCGCCGTAGGTGATCAAGAACGCGATCTCCGACTGCACACCCGGCTGACGCAGCACGGGGAGCATCTCCAGGCCGAGCTGCTTCCACGGCGGCGACACCAGCACCAACGCCTTCACGTCGCGTCCTTGCTTGCCCCGATTGAGCACCGGCACGGCCCAATCGACCGCCGCTGCGCCGGTGGCGACGATCGCGCCGAGCTCGATGCCCAGGTAAGCCAACCGGTTGAGGTTCAACTCGCCGGCGTCGTTCTTATCGACGAGGAACCGCCGCACCGCCTCCATGTCCGATTTCACCATCGCGGCGGCGTCGATGGGGGTGAGTTTCGCGCCGCGACGGTCGGTCACCTGGCCATTAGCACTGCGGACGCGGGTGCTGTCTCCCAAGCCACGGAGGGCGACCGTGAGGACCGACATCGGCGTCGCGGTGGACTCCCCCTCATCGGCTGTTTGTAGTCGCGTCGCTAGGCCGTGAAACACCGCCGAGGACTCGTTCTCCCCAGCCAACATGACGACGACCGGCGTGTCGGGCCCGGCTTCTTCGGCAGGGAAAAACGTGCCCGAAAGGAGAACGCCGTCGGGCGTTTCAAGTTCCACCGGTAGCGGAGCAGCAGCGGCCACGATCGAGACGCCCATTCCCGCCAACAGCACAAGTGGCAGCATGCCGATAAAGCGGCGAAAGGCGGTAGAAATCGGCTGGCGAAGGAATAGCATCTGGCGGTTGGCTCCAGGCAGGGGACAAATCGGCCAACTCAAGTATAGTTAATAGAAGGGCCCTCGCCGCGGGGTCGGCCCCGACTCGAACCGACTTTTATCGAGGCGGTCAGCGCTTGTCCGAGGCATACCAGGATCAACCGAACGCCACCGCCGCAGCGAGCGGACGGTTCAGCGAGCCGCTGGCATGGCTCTCCAGCTTGGCAATGCATGCCTGCGCACTGATTTGTCTAGCGGTCTTCACGCAGATCGCACCGCTGGACAAAGCGCCGCTGCTGTTCACCTCGCTCCCACCCGAAGAGCCCGAACCGCTCGACGATGCGTTCCGCGTCTCTGAGGAGCTTTCGATCGATATCGGCGCCCTCTCCGACGGCGGCGTCGGCGACGCCGCGGCCGCGGCGCCGCTCGAGGCGGTCGTCCCCGAGGTGGCGCTGGACCTGCAAGCGCTGACAGAGCTGGGACAGATCCCGACACTCGAAGCCTCAACGCCCTCGCTCTCCAGCCCGGACCCCAAGAGCAACACGCTCGTCGTTGGCGTCGGCGCGGTAGGCACGACCGGCAGCGAGGGCGCCGTCGATTGGCTCACCGGCGCGATCCTGCAATCGCTCGAACAGAGCCCTACGGTGGTCGTCTGGCTGTTCGACCGTTCAGAGAGCCTCACCGCGCAGCGGGAGGAGATCGTCCGCCGCTTCGACCGCGTCTACGAAGAGCTAGGCGTCGCTGCGACGCGCGGCGCCGAAGGCTTCGACGCAGCCGAGGAGGACGAGGCGCCGCTGTTGACTTCGATCGTGGCGTTCGGCGAGGGCGTCGAGTTCGTCACCCGTAAGCCAACGGCCGACATCGAAGCAATCAAGGAGGCCGTCCGCTCGATCGAGCCCGACGAGAGCGGCGCCGAGAACGTCTTTGGAGCCGTGCTGAGCGCCGCCGAGCGTCACAAGCGCTACCGGCTCCAGCGGCCGCGGCGGAATGTGATGCTAGTGGTGGTCACCGACGAGGCGGGCGATGACTTCGCCAATATCGATCGCGCCGTCGCCTACTGCCGGAAGATGCAGATGCCGGTCTACGCCGTGGGAGCGCCGGCGCCGTTTGGCCGCCGAGAGACCTACGTCCGCTACGTTGACCCCGACCCGAAGTACGACCAGACGCCGCAGTACCTGCCGGTGCAGCAAGGCCCCGAGACGCTGTTCCCCGAGCGGCTGCGGCTCGGGTCGTTTGCGGGCGACGACTACGACGGCACGATCCTCGATTCGGGCTTCGGCCCCTACGCCCTAACGCGGCTGACGCGCGAGACCAACGGTTCATTCATCGCCGTGCATCCCTTCCGTGTTGACGCCGGCCGCGCCAACCGCCGCGGCGCCGACGACACGATGGTCGCACGGCTCGATTACTTCTTCGACCATCGGGTGATGCGGCGCTACCTGCCCGACTATGTCCCCACGACCGAGTACCAGAAGCGTGTCAGCCGCAACGGCGCGAAGCGGGCGCTGGTCGAGGCGTCGGCGATGGCTTGGACCGAGAAGCTCGAGAATGTGCGGCGTGATTTTCCGAAACTCGACGAAGCCCAGTTCGCCGAGGACCTCAGCAACGCCCAGCGCGCCGCGGCGATTCTTGAACCCAAGCTGGCGCAGCTGGTGACGACGTTGCGCCGCGGCGAAGCGGACCGGCCGAAGATCGACGACCCGCGTTGGCAGGCGGGCTACGACTTGGCGCTCGGCCAGGCTCTCGCCGCCAAGGTCCGGGCCGAGGGTTACAACGCGATGCTCGCCCTGGCGAAGCAGGGGTTGTCGTTCACGTCCGAAAAGAAAGACACCTGGGTCATCCGCCCCGCCGAGGAGATTTCTACCGGCAGCTTAGACCAGCGCGAAGCGGAAGACGCGATCCGCTACTTGAAGCGTGTCGTCGCTGAGCACGAAGGAACGCCGTGGGCCTTTCTCGCCCAGCGCGAACTCAGCACGCCGCTGGGTTGGAAATGGAACGACGAGTTCCGCAACCTCGCCGAAAGGCGTCAGCAAGAGAACAACCGCCCCCCGCGACCGGAACGCCCCGAGCCGCCGCCGAAGCCGCGGCGCACTCCAAAGCTTTAATCAGAGAAAGGAGATGGGGGGATGGCGGGAACGGAACTCACGCCACCGATGTGAGGTCTTGGCCTCGCCTTGGTGGCGACTGCCAGCTGAGGAGATATGGGGATGGCGGGTCGTTGGGACCTACCGCCACTCTGTGGAGAGGTTCTTTTATTTCTTGCACGACGGCGTCGATGACCGTCCCGCGCCGTCCTGCGAAAGCGACATCCCCGATATCTCCTCGTGGATACCGCTGCTACGAAGGGATGCGTGCAGCGCATCCTATGCGAGGGTCACGTACGACCATCTCCACATCCCCTTCTCCTCAACAACGCCTACCGATTGGCAAGAGCGTCCATCGCGAAGTCGGCCGTGGGGTCGTGCGGATAGAAGTGCTTGCCGATCGCCATGGCGAGCACGTTGACGTACTCGGTCTGGAACGTCGAAGGACTCTTGCTCTGCGCGGCTATCGGGGCGTTGAGCGGGTAGAGAATCTCGCCGAGCGGTTTGCTCCAGACGATATTCCCGCCGGTGGTCATGTCGTGCACCTTGAGAGTGATGTCGGAGCTCCCTTGGTAAACCGTCTGGCCCGGCATCAGGTCGAAGTGCGCCAGGTCGATATAGAGCACCATGTCGGCCTTCACGGCCTTGGCGAGCTCGAGGTAGTCGTCTGAATCGTTCTCGTCGATCCAGGCGTCGACCTTCCGCTGCGGGACGACCTTGATCTTTTGCTTCTTGGTGAGGTGCTCTTCGAGCAGTTCACTGACGCGCTGCGAGATCTGCCGCGAGGCGCCGGCGTGGCGGAACTCCTGCGAGACCGGTTGGCTGCAGAACACGACGACGGTCTTCTTCTTGAAGCCCTCGTACTCCGCGTCCTTGATGTTCCCCCCTTGGAACATGTAGATGCCGGTCGCCAGCAACATGTGCAGGCATCCCGCGGTGGGGAGGAGCGTCAACGCCGCCAGCGCGAGCGACAGCCGCGTTGCATAACGGGGCGTGACGACGGCCAAAGGGCGAGAAGCGGGGCGATCCATCGCGTCGTTCTCTTCAAGGTAAGTAAGCAGAGCGCAGGCCCGCTGCCATGCGGGGCGGCGGGAGAGTAGCGGGAGGCGGCAATGGTCGCAAGCTGGATTCCGTTTGCGTCAACACCAAGGCAGACGCCGAACCTCGGGGTATCCTGGCTGTCCTCTCGAACACCTCAACCCCGCGCCAGCATGCCAATCCCCCTCTACCAGGTCGACGCTTTTACCAACGAGCTCTTCGGCGGCAACCCGGCCGCGGTATGCCCGCTTGAAGAGTGGCTTCCCGATGCGACGCTACAAGCCATCGCGGCAGAGAACAATCTCTCGGAAACCGCCTTCTTTTCGCCCGAGGGAGACGGCTTTCGGCTGCGGTGGTTTACTCCGATCCGCGAAGTCGACCTCTGTGGGCACGCGACCTTGGCGACGGCCTTTGTTTTGTTTGAACGACAGGGGTTCCGCGGGGACACTCTCCGCTTCCAATCGCGGAGTGGCCTCTTGCTCGCCGAGCGCGGCGCCGACGGCATCACCCTCGACTTTCCTGCCGGCGCCGCGCAGCCGTGCCAAGCCCCGCGGGGCCTTGCCGAGGCGCTCGGAATCGAACCGGTGGAATGTCTCAAGGCGAATGATTATCTCGTGGTGCTCCGCGACGAAGAAGCCGTGCGTAGCGCCAAGCCAGATTTTCGTGCGCTGGCAGAGGTCGAGTTGAGAGGTGTCGCCATTACGGCTCAGGGTAACGATGTCGATTTTGTGAGCCGCTTCTTCGCGCCGAGTTATGGCATCAACGAAGACCCTGTCACGGGAGCGGCCCACTGCTTGCTAGCGCCTTATTGGGCTGGCGTTCTCGGCAAGCAGCAACTCAAAGCCGAACAGGTGTCTTCACGAGGTGGCGAAGTGCTTTGTGGCGTCGCGGACGATCGCGTGTATCTCACCGGACAAGCGGTGCTCTACCTGGAGGGCGCCATCACGATCAATCGCTAAGAGCTACGCTTATCGACTCGGAGCCGATCGGCCTCCGCCTCATTGACCATCACGCGCTCAATCGCGGTCGCCCGGCCCGATTCGGCGTCGATCGTCACCAGGGCGCCGTTGATGCGCAGGTCCTTCTCCGCGACATCGAACGAGTGCGGCACGCCGGTCAGCGTCGCCGCTAGCACACGATCGACGCGACGGCCGAGGATGCTGTCGTGCGGGCCGGTCATGCCGACGTCGCACTGGAAGGCGGTCCCTTCGGGAAAGACGCACTCGTCCGCCGTCGGCACGTGGGTGTGCGTCCCCAGCACCGCCGACACGCGGCCGTCGAGATACCGGCCCATTGACTGCATCTCGCTGGTGGCCTCGGCGTGGAAATCAACGAAGCGGACCTTCACGTCCGCCGGCGCCTCGGCGAGCGCGGCGTCAACCGCTCGAAAGGGGCTATCGATCGGTTTCATGAAGAGCTGACCCAACGCGCAGCAGACGAGAACTTGATGTGCGCCGTCCTTCGTGCGGACCGTTGCCCAGCGGCGGCCGGTCGCCTCGGCCGGCAGGTTGCAGGGCCGCACAACGTTGTCCGCCGATTCAAGCAGCGGCAGCACCTCGCGTCGGCGATAGACATGGTCGCCAAGCGTCACCGCATCAACGCCCGCCGCCATCAGCTCGGCGTGGATCTTTGGCGTGTACCCCGATCCCGACGCGGCGTTCTCGGCGTTGCAGACCACCAGATCGATCCCGCGCTCAGCGATCAGCCCCGGCAGCGCCCGTTGAACGATCTCCCGCCCCGGCCTGCCGACAACGTCGCCGATGAAGAGGAGAAGCATGGGAAAGGGGAAAGGCGAAAGTGGAAAGGGGAGAGATAAACGGGGAGGGATTGCTTCGGGGAATCAACCGCTTTCCCCTTTCGCCTTTCCACTTTCACGTCACTTTGCCATCTCAGTAAAGCGGGTCTCGCGGATCATTGTCACGCGGATTTCGCCGGGGTAGGTGAGCTGTTCTTCGAACGCTTTGGCGATGTCGCGGCAGACCTTGGCGGCGGACTCGTCGGTCGTCTCGTTCGTTTTAGCGATGACACGCACCTCGCGGCCCGCTTGGATCGCGAAAGCTTGGTGGACGCCGGCGAAGCCTGAGGCGATCGCTTCGAGCTCCTGCATCCGCTTGATGTAACGGTCGAGCGTCTCGCGCCGCGCGCCGGGCCGCGAAGCGCTGCAGGCGTCCGCCGCGGCGACGATCACGGTGTACGGCATATCGACGCGGATATCGTCATGATGGCCGAGGGCGGCGTGCACAACGACATCGTTCTCGCCATAGCGTTTCAGTAGGTCGGCGCCGATCTTCGGATGGCCGCCCTCGGTGTCGTGGTCGGCCGCTTTGCCGATGTCGTGCAGCAGGCCCGCACGTCGAGCGAGGTCGCCATCGTAGCCCAGCTCTTCGGCGATCATGCCGGCGACGAACGCCACCTCGATCGAGTGCCGGAGCACGTTCTGGCTGTAGCTGGTGCGGTAGTAGAGGCGCCCCAGCAGCTGGATCGCCTTGGGGTGCAGCCCGCGGATATCGACCTCTTGGGCCGCTTCTTCGCCGTACTTCACCAGCAGCTTCTCGACCTCGGCGGTCGTCTCGACGACCAGCTCTTCGATGCGGCTGGGATGGATGCGGCCGTCGGCGATGAGCTTCGTCAGCGCGAGTTGCGCGATCTGCCGCCGCACAGGGTCAAATGAGCTGACGATCACCACGCCCGGCGTATCGTCGATGATGACGTCAACGCCGGTCTCCTTCTCGAAGGTGCGGATGTTGCGACCTTCGCGGCCAATGATCCGGCCCTTCATTTCGTCGCTGGGGATATCGACCGTGCTGGTGGTCGACTCGGCCGTGTGCGCGGCGGCGAAACGCTGGATCGAGGTGATCAGCATTTCCTTGGCCTTGGCGTCGACCTTCTCAGCCAGACGCTTCTCAGCCTCCATGACGCGGACGCCCTGCTCGTGCGACAGTTCGGCGTCAAGCCGCTCGAGGAGCATCTTGCGGGCCTCTTCGGGCCCCAGCCCGCTGGCCTTGTGTAGGGCTTGCCGCTGGACGTCGAGGAGGTTCTCGAGTTCTTTCGTACGGACATCGACATCGGCCAGCTTTTCCGTCAGGCGGCGCTGGTTGCTCTCGACCATCTTCTCTTGCTTGGCGAGCTGGTCCTCACGTGAGGTCACGGCGTCGTCACGCTTGTCGAGGTGCCGCTCGCGTTCGTGGAGCTTGTCGCGTACGTCGGCAAGCTGCTCCTCGACGCGCGACTTCTCGG